AAAATCACCTCTCGAGTTGGTATACTGAGAGTGATCTCCCACTTGATTGGGTGATTAAAGTCACTAATAATGGATGGACGAACAATGAGACAGGTTTAGAGTGGATTAAACACTTCGATAAGCATACTATTGCTCGAAAACAAGGTGGTTATCGAATGCTAGTATTAGACGGACACGAAAGCCACGAATCGATTGCATTTCAAGAATATTGCAAAGAACACAATATTATAACTCTTTCATTACCTCCTCATTCTTCGCATATTACTCAACCACTTGATGTCGGATGTTTTAGTGTTTTAAAACGAACGTATGGCCAACAAATTGAGGAGTATATTAAAGCTCATATCAACCATATCACCAAGGTCGAATTCCTTATAGCCTTCAAAGCAGCATACCTACAATCAATAACTGTTCAAAATGGATTATCTGGATTCCGCGGAGCTGGATTAATACCCTTTGATCCTCAAGCTGTTATTTCTAAGCTAGATATCAAATTACGAACACCTACGCCTACCAGATCCTCCTTTGTAGAGCTCGATCCTTGGGTTTCTCAAACACCTCACAACTTGAACGATGCTCTTTCGCAATCAACCTTAGTTAAAAATCGAATTGCACAACATCAAGGAAGCTCTCCTACACCTATATTTGAAACAGTTGCAGCTTTAGCTAAGGGTACAGAGATATTAGCTCATGAGATGACACTTATGAGTACTGAGATTCGTACTCTTCGAAAGGCAAATGAGGCATTGAGTAAACGTTGTAGAGCTAAAAAGAGTCGAATTCGTCAAGGAGGAATACTTAGTATACAAGATGGATGTGATATTATATTACAGACCGATGTAGATAATTAGATTTGATGCGACGAATGCTTTAAGAGGGGTAGTTCAAATGGGGAACAATCAACTTTACATCGTTGTGGCTCTTGTGGTAAAACTGGTCATAATATACGAACTTGTCAGGAGGATTTAGAAGACTCTAGTTTATCAGATTCTGAATAGTTTCAATTAATTTTATATGTTGTGATTATTGAATAATATTTTGAAATGATTGAGTAGTGAAAAAGTGCGCGAGGCACTGATATGCGCGACGCACTGATAAACCACGTTATATACAATATATAAGGGCATATATGTATGGATAAATGTACTCGAGTATATTGAGTACAGGAAATACAGTAGAAACATATAACATAGCTCATAGCATAGTATCATAATCACACAAACTTACCTAGGTATTCACCATGTTCATTATATCTTATTCTCACATCCACCACATCACATCAAACTCACAAAACCACAAAACCATAATGTATGATATGAAAACACTTCATAGTATTGATTATCAATCCTTTTGTTATTACACTTCATAATTCGTACCATCATTCATGCCTGAAAGCACAAAAAGTACCAATCATTTGTTAGTTCAGCCATCCATCCACATGCCCATGCCATGCCAGGTCATGTCATGATCCTTAAGTGATCCGCCATTAAAAACGTCCATTAACATCCCCGAATTAACCCCCATTGCGTTACCATGTCTATGGCGTCATGTGCATAAAATCATATGTATGACCAGAAATTTCCATCCATACCTATCATCAAATGCATCGATACCATCCTTCGTGAAAGTCGTCAAAAGTTAAAGAAAGAAATTGTAGAAAGTATGGTCAAGAATTAAAAAAGGGAAAAAAGAAGGGTATCGTTCGTTGCAAGTCCACTTCTCTCAACTTCCATTACATCCATCTGAAGAGCCTTTTCCGTATCAAAAAGAAAGGAAATAGATCATCTTGGAGTGGTTTACAAAAGAAGAGCAGCGAGACCAGCGGCGGCCATCAAACCGGTAGCACCAGTTGGGAGAGCTGCCATAGCTACCGAGGTTGCGGATGATGCAGCACTACCAGCCGCTGAAGTGGCAGAAGAAACCCTGTTGGAAGTAGCTGATGTAGCGGATGAAACCGCGCTGGACGCACTTGAAACTGCAGAAGAAGCGGAAGATTCTAGGGAAGATACGGCGGATCCGGCACTGGAGGCAACATCGGAAGCTGAGGAAGCAGCATTTGAAATCACACCGACGGCACCTCCACCACCGAAGATGGTAGTAGATCCAACAGTTGTCTCAAAAGTGGAAGAACCACTGGTGACGGTGGAGAGGATAGCAGAGGTGGTAATAGCAGAAGATGATTCCTCAGTTCCACTTGGGGTGCTGTAGATGGTGGAAGATCCAACAGTTGACTCAAAGGTAGAATCACCGCTTGTGATGGTGGAAACGACGGCCTGGGTAGAGATTGGAGTTGAGGATAAGATACCAACACCTCCAGCACCGTAAATTGTAGTAGAACCAACTGTGGATGTGATGGTTTCGGAACCTGAAGTAACAGTTGCGAAAAGGGCAGAGGTGGTGAGTGCAGAAGAACTGGCAGAAGAGCTAGCAGCAGCAACCTATGAAATTGGGTTAGTAAATATTTAATTCACTTTTGGTGGTATTATTATTGATGTGCGTGACTAGCACGGGCACGCGTATTTTCTTTGTGGCTGAAAATAATCAAGAGAAATCGGCAATAAATATTGACGTCATAAGAATAGAAAGTGAATAATAACTTACAGAAGAATCAGATGAACCGCTCGTAGATGTAGCCAAAGTGGTAGCTGAACCCGAGGAAGCAGATGCAAGAGCAGCTGTTCATTATTAGCAATAGATCAAATCAATTGAAGTTCGCGATGGTGAACATACCTGCACAATAGCTCGCGCCATAAGCAATAACAGGAGTGGCATCTGCAGTACCGCAAGCAGCATTGGAGCAGTCACGAATACCGTAACCAAAGTCTGCGTTCTGGCAAAGACATGCGACATCAGCATTGGGGCAACCAAGAGATGGAGCCAAAGCGAGCATGTTGCTGATACAAGTTTGCTATTGAGAATAAATAAATTAGCCATCATTGAAAATTAAGTCGCATCGTGATCAAATCGCACAAGCTGTCAATTGATCGCGACAATACGAAGATTGTAAAAAGAAAAAGAATTGAATACTTACACCACATGATGGCAGGTCGGTGAGAGATTGGGCGACAGAAGCAGCTGTGAAAGCGCTGATGGCGAGGATAATTGAAGACTTCATATTGATTATTTTGTTTTGAAGAAGTATGCTTCCTAAAATGTAATATAGAATCTGAATATATTTGAGAAGGTTAATCTTTTGAAGAGATTAAGTTAAGTTGTTGAGATGTTGAAAGGTCTTTGTTATGGTTTGGAGATGGTGGTACGAAAATGGAGGAAGATGGGAAGATTGGAAATGTGGTTTGTTTTGTTTTGTTTTGTTTTGTTATGAAAAAAGAAAACTAAAGTTGGGATGGATGCGAACCTTATTATATTTTGATAAACGAGGAAAGAAGTGAAAGTGAAGTCAGAGTGAATAAAGCTTGCTATGAGTGAAGCTTGATTATTATTTTTTCCTTGTTTGACTAGAAAAATACTAAAAATAATAGCTGGGTAAGTAAGTACCTAGTATAGGAAAGAGTGACGAGGGAAATCTAAAATGGAGCTAAGGTAAGGTACTACTATCATCTAGTTATGTAGTACTACCCAATTCAGTACCACAATTTTACCAATTGTATATGATTTGGGTTAAAACTTATAGTTAGAGCAATCTCGTAAAGAAGTCATAAATATCTAATCGGCGTTGTACAATCAACATCTAATTTCAATTCTTCTCAACAATATGAATCGATACTCAAATACCTTTTCTTGTATTCATACTCCGTCCGTACAATCAAATTCCACTTGATTTGTAACCTTATTTGGAATAATTCTATACACTTTCCATCCAGAATGTTCGTATAGAAATTCCACTATGAGGTGTTAGTTAGCTTTTGGGATCGTTTGCCAACAACATGTCCATCCATCCATGGCTGGCCTTTCTCTCTCCCCCCAAAAAGCTTGGAACGGGTCACCGATATGTGAGTTTTCCAGCTGTACATTACCATTCTGGTTTGGACTAGTTGATGCACCTTTACTGATGTCCAATAGTATCGATAGTTAGTAGAGGATAGAGGATACCAGCCACGAATTCTGTAAAAGATGGCTGGAAAAGGTATACAAAAGACTGGATTTCATGAGATGTTGTCCAGCTTCTCTCGCTTGCAGATGATGGTGCATATCAATTACCACCTCAACCAAGAAATCGTTGTACTTCTCCGCATTTAATGCTTGTGCACACTGCACAAGGGTTTCTATACCAGCATGATTGAAAAAGATACTTCGTGGTGGCGTGCCTAATCAGTTCTGACATCACAAACTGTGGCTTCACAAGTACAGTACATCTCTCACACAGAGTGCAAACAACATGACTACAATAACACCATCAAGACCGAGTTCCCTTGTGAGTACATTTTCGATGCTTCGCTGGCAAAAGAAAAGTGGAATGAATATATGACATTTTAAGTTTTAACCCATTATTACAGTTTTGTCACGATGTTGATGATGCAAAAGCAGGTTCGATTTGCCATATCGAAAGACTCCTCCCCGACATTGTGACGTCTACAAATATCTACATGTAAGCAAGATCTTCCATTTTTCAAGATATTCAAGGTTTATTACTCCCGGTCAAAATCAGTAGCTCAGGGGTCCACGCGGAGTGGGTAGGTACCGGATGGGACGAGATGCATCTCCCACAAAACTAGATCAAGAATGGTTAAAGCTGATTCAAAATCGACCCAATACTGATTTAGCTTTGAGCCTTGGACACAAGTTTCCCAAGAAACCAAGGATATATCCTTGTTCACTGAATGATCCTCCCTGTGGAGCTGAGTCTCGGTGTTGACTCTTGAGGTGGTGATGGAAGCTTTTTGAGAGCTTCTTTCGATACAGATGCATCATGAATGTTATTGCTCTTCATCATGTTTGATAACAGTGTTCACTGTTCGGCGAAGAAGTGGAAATTTCAAATCACTGGGAACGCAAAAGACATCTGTGTGATCACTGTGATGAGTAAAAGTAAAAGTGCTTATTCATCATTCATCTCATTATTATCCGCGACCTCATTTCCTCATAACCTCTTCAAATTACCTATCCGTATCACACAAACACCTCTCGGGCTGAAATACAGTAATTGTCACGAAGCTTCAACACTATTGAATAGGTAAATGTCTAGACTCATTGGGGCCTTTACTCTCTGTGCGTGTGGCTGGTAAAGCTAAAGCTAAAACCTTAATACAGTAATACTTCGGTAGAACCAATTCCTTCAGGTGAACAAGGGTTAGCTACCGGTACTTTATCCATATATCATGGGAAAATGATTGGAAACTGGAGGGGCAGAAAGAAGTAAGCTTCATTTTCTAGAGATCACCACCAAAATGATTAAAGGTTGATACTCACTATTCTAGAGAAGGATTACCGCTACCAGTACACCGGGTACAAGTCTCATTAAATTGACTGAAATCAGTAATTATACCGATGAGCACTTGGGGATGGGTTATCAATTGATGTGATGTTAGATAGATAACGATAACATTGCTCATAGCTCGGGTGATAGCCCGAACGTGAACATCATATGCCTTGTACAATATCAGTCAGTCCGATATCTAACATCGTAGGAGTATCAAACCAAAACCAAAACCAAAACCCAAAGTTCAATCATGAATTTTCCCATCGCACTTTGCTGACCCCGCCATAGAGAGTAAACAGCTCACTCATATCATTTCATTTCATTTTGCTTTCATCTATATAGTACTGTACCACAACATCTGTACTGTGCTCAAAGTATATACCAGTACTGTACACATAAGAAAATGCATTACATAACTGTATAATTTACCAGGTCATATCACTTACCTTACTTGAAACTTCAAATGTACCTAACTCGATTCAGATACTTTCCTCCAGATACCAATACCAATACCAATACCAATACACCGCATATGCATGGTAGAAAGCGATGAATGGATCGCAAAATGGTTTTCACCTATAATAAAGTCCATAATGGTATTGTTTCCCAATGGTTTAATCGACTCTAAGGTTGCCCGGCCACTGAATTTTTACAATGGTGGCAGTGGATTCTTCTGGAAACGTGCATACCTAGGCCGTAGATACTTTACCCTCCCTTGCCAGCACACTGATCTCGAGCCAAAGCCTCTACCTCTGTATCTTATCCGCCTTTCTTGCGTCAGAAGCTTCACTTCCACTTTAAAATCCTTTTCTTTCTTTTTCTGAGTCCAGACTCCAGCGTCCACTACCCGGTAGATGACCTGACTTCATCTGATCAATAGGCGCCCAGTAAAAGATCTAGCGGTAGTACAGTAGTCTTCTATCATCTATGTCATTATGATAAAATGATCATAACACAACAACAATAATCAATTACAGTAAAAATTCTAGGTCTTTTTTTTAACTAAACTTGGCCCACGCCTAGTCTTCTACTAACTCACTCTAACTTCAGCACTCGCCCGCCATCTTTCATAATTATTCTTCCTTCCTCCATCTTTCTCTCTCTCTTTCTTCTCAGCTGCTGATCTTCCCTCCGGCCCATGGATAGTTCGTGGATAGGCAATATTCGATAGTTAATAGTACCCGATTATTCTGGACCGATTAAAATACTCTAGAGTTTTTAGTATGGAGGGGCACAGCTAAATTCAAAGCTCATGGCACACGGTGCGAGTTTTGGTGTTGAGGGAGGGAGGTTCTTGGTGGATGAGGAAGAGGAACTCAGAATGAGATAGTTGACGTAAGTTTTGAAAATCCCAAAGGCAAACCACAAATACTAAAAGAATTGAATTTATCAATGAGTCCTACCTAGTTATCCTACCTACCTAGTTATTCCCTCCTGTCCCTTTAGTTCCATCACCACTGTTACTAATATCAACCGAGTGACGACTAGTTGACAACCGAGTGAATAACCACTCCTTAAATTACCCACCAAATCTTCCCTCCCCCCACCAAGATCTCCACCCCACCACGAAAAAAAAAATCTCTTCCCAAGGCATCATCAATCCACCACCATCACCAAGCAACCTCAAAAAAGTGAAAAAAGATCAATCTCATGGCGGTGCTGGGAATCGAACCCAGATTGAAGCGGGATTGTAGAGAGACTGTAAAGACTCGACTTCGTGAAGACCCTGAGAGGAGAAACCACAACACTACGTGCTACCATTACACCACACCACCTTGTTATTGGATGTTTTTGATGAATGTTCGTGTTGATTGTTTGATATATATTGCAGTGATATAATGATGTGATGAATGATGTCCACTAGTGTGGGGAGGATGGATGGATGGATGGGATGTTGGAACTTGGTGCTTGGTGCTTGGATGGGTATTGGTGCATGGATGGATGGAGGGATGGAGGGATGACTGTTTGATATATATCAGAAAGCGTTCCCCTATTCACTACCTACACCTTCTCTTTCCCGCTCTAACCTTCCATTTCCTGTTGTTCGTTACTCTACTCCTCCCTCTCTTCAGTAGTCTCCTTAATTAAGTCCTTGCAGATTTCCCGACCTTTCAATTGATACATTTCGTAACCTTCGTTCTTGAGTGCTTATTCCCCTGATCTGTTCAAACATTGAGCTCTCTTCCTCCCCCTTTCTCTCTCTTCTCAACAAATATCATGCTTCGGAAGTTTTCCAAATCTATAGCTAGCTGGCTTTCTTAAATCATCTTCTCACTTATTGAGCTTTTCTACTTGTATTTTTCTAGCAACTTGATCCCGTACCATCTTCATCCCTCGTACGTGCATGCACTTGGTATCATAACCTCCCTTTCTTACAATCCAATCCAAACCATCTCTATCTTTATTACATCTTCGAGTTCGCGAGATTCAGATGCTGTAGCTTCCCAGCTTTCTGGAGCTTTGGGTGGATAATAGACGTATTTTCGGGATATAAGTAGGATATCGAAGGACAAGGTTCTTATAACTAACTACTCAGTACAGTAGTACAACTGAGTGTTTGAACTGGAGTTTTTTCAAGTTGCTTCGATGATTGTTCTTCTAAGGAATTTACGACAGAAGATCTTAGAATGATATACGATGATACATAATCAGGAAAATTAGTGCTGTTTCTCTACTGGTTCCTTTTCTTCGGCCACAGAATAAGAGGAATAACAGAGGTTATGTGTGGTGACATGAGGCGGAAGACTGAAGTTGGTTAGAAAGAGGGATTTCAGGGTGAAGGAAAGTAAACCCGAAAGTAAACCCATTATCAGTTACCTGGTAATCGAAATGAATGATTGGATATTGATTGGGTCGGTTCCAGGTTAGGGGGGGTTTATATTTTATTTACCAGGCTTAATAATTACACTACTTACTATTAAGTTGAGTTATGTGTTTGTATGTTTGTATGTATGTATGTATTGGCAAGAGGGTGTACCGTTTTAGGATTGTATTTTCTATTCACTGAAGTGACTAAACCATACCGGTACACTATAAACCTTTAAATTAACAGAGATAGAAACGCCAGATTTCTATCATAAATCTGTCTCAAACTCACATAAAACACAAAAACGACATACATCACCACACCCTCAATGCTTCATCCACCCATCCATCCCTCCATCCGTCAATCCAAACCCAAATAATCCCAGCTAAACTTCCCACTCTATATCTATCTTTCCACTTCCAAGTAAATCTCACTTACCATCATGATTCCCAATTCTTATTTAGGTCCTCAGGATGAAAACTCAAAGTGGTACTACTGTAGCTACTGGTATTCGAAGTTTGAATATTGCGCAAGATAAGTATTGTTGTACACCTCACTGAAGGTTATTTGTTCATTCATTCATTCATTCATTCATCACCAGCTAAGTTATGTGTTGAAGTTGGTTTTTTTTCTGGAGGAGGTCTATATATATATTGTGTGTATATGTATATGTATGTGTATAGAGTTTGTGATTTATGAACTATATATAAATGCCAGTGTGCAAATTGACCTGATGGATTGTGGTGAATGAATGTTTGGATATTTTGGATGGATATTGGGTGTGGGAATGGGAATGGGAGTGAGATTGTAGCGGTGAAGAGAAGTGCAGTTATAGCTATAGGATAGTGTTGAATCTTTTGGCGAAGGGGGAGGGGTGTCTGTGTTGACATAGTTGATAACTTATGATCTACAGACTTCAGATCTTCCATTACCAAGGTTAATAGATACCATAAACATCTTATCAATATCAATTTGAGTCAAGACTCAAAGTTCCGATTCAAAGTTGAAGTCTAATGTTGAAACTAGAAATTTAAAATTTAGAGTTAACAAAAATCCCCTTTTGATCAACGTATCAACTTATTAAACCCATAGGAATTAAACCCTAGCCTGGAACCTAAATCATTACTTTAACCGATAGCTAAATAAACAGAAATGAAAACTAAATATAGGCTAAATTATTATTACCCGCAGAGAGTCAGAGACTCTTATCACTATTACCAGTCATTGACTACACTGGTCTAGTTGTAGATGTCAAGGAACAGGCGAGGAAACAGCAAAGAAGTAACGATTGTAAGGAGAGAGAGGAGAGGAGAAGAGGAGAAGAGGAGAAGAGGAGAAGAGGAGAAGAGGAGAAGAGAAGAAGAGGAGAAGAGGAGGAGAGGAGAGGAGGAGGAGAGGAGAAGAGGAGGAGAGGAGAGGAGGAGAAGACTATAGTTGGAGTAAATGGGATATTGTGGTGCCAGTGAAGGAATTGTTAACTAGATCGAATATCATGCAGTAGGTTTAAGATAGAACAGGAATAGTTGGGAAAGGGGGGAGCAACGGGTATCAAGTGTGAGACGGGGTGATAGACTGAGGTAATAAAAGCTGAAGGTGTATAAATTGTAGGCAAACATAGAAATCTGAGTTGATGGTAGTATATTTTTATAGGAAAAGAAAGAAGGAAAGAGAAGATCCAAATAGTATTCACCATGGATATTTAAAGGAGCATCAACAACCAATCAATCTGGGATTCGATACTTAAGTTAGTTTGCCAGTAAGTCTTGAGGTGAATGTCTGCAATTTTCGGATTGTTAACAACTATCTGGAAGGGCAAGTGGGACGGACATGAAGTGAAGGTATGGATTGAGGAGAGAGCGGGAGGTGATGATATGAAGTTATAGATTGGAGGAGAGAGCGGGGGGTGATGATATAAAATTATAGATTTGAGGATATAGGGAATATATGAGGGATCACTTGTAAAGTCACTGAAACTTTTGAATAAAATCTTCAAATCAAGAGGTAAGAAAACAGGAGGAAAGTCGAGATTAAATTCGCAACTACCGGTATGAGGGCAATGTTTATAGTTGCAAGAACCTGGTAAGTATTGCGAGGAGTGAACGTTTAATACTTATCAGAGCAAAGAGAAACCTGAGAACTCGAGAAAAATGGAGGGGGAGGGGAGTCGAAAACTATCGAAATATACTCTATAACCAAGAATGAGAATGAGAATGAGAATGAGGAAGGGGGAGAATTTGAGAATATCAGAATACATAGTACATATCACAATAGGAAAGGAGTAATATAACATCACTTGATTGACAATGACAAACATAATATACCACTAGAAGAAGCATGTATGTCCGACAAGACATTCTTCGTTATCTTAACCGGGTTGATGGGTGGCATGGGATGGGATGAATACGAGATATTGAGAGAGAGAGGGGGAGGAGAGGGGGGGGGGGTATATAGCCTAGGTGTCCATCCCATTCCCTATCATCACACGGACGCGGTCATCTTATTTCGAGTATGTATAGAATAATTCATACGTATGTATCATATATGTAAAAGTAGCGAAGTAGAAAAAAACCTACCCTAAGCATTTCAATCATCAACATCAGCAATGCACCAATGGAAAGAGAGAATGCCAATATATATCCCGCGCTGCAGCAACGAATTCTTCATTCTCCAGTCTCTAATCTTTTTTTAACTGTATATGCAGGATATATATACATACATATACACATACATATACACATACCAGTATATAGAAAGAAAGGCGGGATCATAATACGAGCATAAGAGAAAGTGTATATCGCAACTCGGCATATCAATCATGATGTGATCTGATGCAGTACATTATACTACAATACGTATTCGGAATGGTATTTGATATTTGATATTTGCCACAATATGAAACTTCAAACATTAAGGTTAAACATTACGAAGGTCTCCCCTTCCGCGTTGAAGAAATGGATGTTTCAGTCTCCAACCTCTTGCTATTTTTGACATGTTAGATATATACAACGAGAATTTGGTCATTGTACAATAAATAATCAGGTGCTGGATATATACAATGTACTTGCATCGCTACCCAGTTTTCAGTCCTCTGATCATGATGAGGGTGGGTACAGTACATACATACACACAATCCTCTAAAGACAGTATTATGTCTATTTTCGGTCTTTTGGCACATATATATATCTATACATACAATATGTTTCAAAATTAACTAAATACACATTTCGGAAAATGACGCAAAGCATCCTCAAAGGTTTCAGATTGCGCCTCTTTTTGTCTCTCGAGAATATGCAAGATGCTTGAAATGGTATCTTTCTAGACTTTGTTGCTTGATGGGGTAAGATATGTTTTAGATGAGTCATGGTACTTATACTTGATTTGGTGAGGTTATAGATAGATGTATTTGATTTGTAAAGAATGAGAAATACACTTGGAGATGGATGGGTGGAGAGTAATGATCACGAACGAGTTTAGCTTTGTCTAAATTGGCTAGTAAGTAATCTAGATGAAGGTAGTGCTCTATCCGATAATATATAATAATATATATACTTCCTATTGAATATACAAGATAATAATCACATAATGATATTTCCATTCCAACCATGCATCCAATCATACCATACATCCTCTCAATTTCTGCAAGTCCTTTCCTCGCCAAAAAGAACCCAGGTAAGCAATGCAAACCTTGATTCATAAGACAATAATGTAATAAATGTCTTGGAATTCAAGCTTTTTTTTTCTTCTTCTGGCTAATTTGACATGTGAAGATACGATAGCGCGTAAAGGTGTGACTGTGACTGTGGCTGCGCGCATAAGAGAGGTAAAAATTGTGCATGGAGGAGGGAGAGGAGAGGGAAATGATGATGATGAAGATGAAGATGGGGAGGATAAAAAGCTAGTTGGGGGATAAGGGTGGGGGAAATGATGGGGTAGGAGTTTATTTGTGAGAGGGTAGGTTGATTTGGGTGATTGATCGAATTTGAGGAGATGGCTGGCAATATCTTGAACAATTTATAGATTACTAGGTATATAAATCCATCCTAGCAACAAAAGATTGATAGTGTATCACTTCCTTCACTCACTGTATATGAAATACACAATCACATGATGATCACCCATTTCCCTCCCATTATCGTTCTGATGGCTCCGAAAACACAATAAATACTACACTTATTCAGAATCTATAAATTCTATAAATGATAAGCTCCTACCCTATCTCATGTTTCACTTATACCCCAGGTTCTGCACTTACATACTTGCACTGCACCACTGAGCGTGCGTACCTCCATAGATAGAAGATGGCGAGTCAGTCAGGAGATTCATTTCCCTATCTGTACTTTTGTCTCCGGAGATGGATGTTGATTGTAGAGTAGGGGTGCAGGATTCTTTATGCAGCAAGTATATTACATTTATAACCCCTCATTGAGAGATAATAATTGATAATTGATAATTAATCACAAATGCTGTAAATCCGATTGAAATATCTGAATTACTTAATTTAAATTTACTGATGAAAAAATGCGGGGATGAATCACAGGACCCTGGTTATGCAATGCACTGATTCTCTATTTGAGCAAAACATAACGATGTGATGGAGTTGTTAGTGACACTTATTCCCGCACCCCCTCATATTTAAAAAAGATTAAAAAATTCATGGGGTGATTTCAGGACGTTCTTTATTGTATGTATATGATTGGTTCTTATTTGAACATTGGTCTGTCACTGGACGGATAACAAATGACAAGATAATAAATACCCTATATCAAAGGAGGAACACTATTTCCCAAATGTGAAGACTATATACATTCATACATTCATACATGCATACATGCATTCGCAATGAGCAAATCCCCTTCCTCAGAAAATTCCATCATTTGTATAACAATCCCATATCATATCCAAACATATTCCGTACCCGCCGTCCCCATCTCCGAAAATCCGAACACTTCCCGCAATCTCCTATACCTTCACAAGCCGCTAAGGCGCTGGCAACCAAAATGTACTGACTGATTGACTGACTGTAGTAGGTGGTCACTGATGCAGTATGTAGTGACACTGCCAGATCGGTTTTTTGATATGCGACGATTGGTGATTTTTGAGAACTCATAGTACTGTTGTACATACTGTTGTACACACTTGAAAGGCGCTTTGCATACTTTGCGCTTTGCGCTTTGTAGTCAGCCTGAGCTATGTATGCATGTATGTATGTGTATGTATAGTAGCACGGATATCGGGAGGATGAATTGGTTGATGCATGAACTATACCATAGAATCCTCCCAATCCTATCCAGCGCTGTCCAGACAGATATCAAATGTACCTACCTACCTACTGTACTGTACTGTATGTACATATCATGTACACGGATAATTAGGCGACCTAGAAATCTGTAACAGTACTGATATAGAGGCACAAGTATGATTCTTGGGAAGGAGTTGCATATACTGTAAGTGGAGAGACAGAGTGGTGTGGAGGGGGATCAAAAATGTGATGTATCGTATAGTATTTTTCTCTTTCGCCTCTGCAATTTTTCTATCTCGTTTCTTGGTGTCGTCAGATAGCTAGCTAGCTAGCTAGCTTGAAGATTGGTTTGAGGAGCTGTACATATGTGTGTGCAGGGTAGTAAATTCGGAAAGAAGCGGCTTGGGCTTGTACTTGGGTGTGCGTGCTGGTGCTGCTGGTGATATGGAGCTGCTTGAATGGGGAGATGGGGAGATGATGTGCTGTATGGTATGGTACCTACATTACAGATGTTTGGGTTAGGTATGTTGAGTTGGGGAATAGGGGGAACACGTTTTCAGACGAGATACACGGATATGATTGATTGTCCTTGAGTTGAGACCTTGAGATTACGAAAGTAGGTACGAAAGTAGGTGTTGTATTGTAGCTTTCTTCATTTTTGGGTGCATATATTAGACATCTCATTGGAAGATAGGAAGGAATTGCTCGTACGATGAAAAGTGGGTAGGTGTAACAAACTGAAGATTCAAAGTACATAGCTGCCCTTGTCAAATTTGTAAATCGAGACATCCATTGATAATGGAACGATTCCACTCCGCTCCATCGGAGAATTATCGATTGATATTTGACAGGTTGGTCGATTAGGTTGCGGTTCTATACGACGGCACGATTGGATTCATCGAGACTCTATCGATAATCTTCAATAAAAAACCCGGGTCCAATCGTTTACAACCTATATGTAGTATTCGAAGGCTCTTTACATGATCCCAAACAAATCAAACCCCTCCCCTCTCCCTCTAGCTTTAGTAGCACTAATAAGCGATGTAGTACCCGATGTGAACCGTGCCTCATAGATAATATGAGGGGATAAGGATAGGGGAGGCAAAGTAAAATAGAGTTGTAATGAACTCGGGCCGTAACTTGATCCCTTTAACTTAATATTAATGAATAGCCGTCTAAGCTTGGCAGGACCAGGGTTCTTGGGAATGGTTTCTATTCGTTGAGGTTAGTCTACCGGTATATAAAACAAAGGCGTAAGTTTGACAAGGGGGTGAGGCTTGTATTCTTCCTCCTCTTCTCGTTAATAGCGGCTTTTCATAGAGCGGCCGCCTGGGAACTATTTGAGTGGGTATTAAGGATTGGAAGGGCTCGCAAGAGAATCATCTCTACTGGTTCATTTGATTGTACAATAGACAAAGGGTCTGATATACAAAAATCTACCCCTCCATAAGACAAAGAAATATTGGTCAGGAATTTTAACGATTGGTTCTCATGATGTTTTTCGAGAAAAGGTTAATCATACGATGCTTCATCATCGTCATCGATGCATATTCTTTTTGGTTTTCTTTGTTAAGTTCTCATTTCAAATGTACGGTAGTGAAGCCATGGGAAACTTGGTAGCTCAAAGGAGTTGGTGGTGTGTGCCTTGTATGCATCGCGCCAATTTGGCAAAGAGTCCGTAAGCACTTGAGGTAAAGTCATACAGGGAAATATACTAGCACGTATCGCAAAGGTGAAGGGTAGAAGGTAGGGGTCCAAGATCTCATTCTAATACAATACGGAGTATTGTCCGAAAGAGTGATCATAATAACAACTTCATGTACCATTATCGGCATATTCATACAAATTTACATGACCAGCCCTTCTCCGCATTATTCAAGGATTGAGATGATGGATTTCAAGACGAAGGGGATATGTTCAAAGAAGGATGCTATATGAATTACTGTCTTAGAAGAGGGTTGCACAACAGCCCGATTCCTGCACATAAGGATCAAGAAAATTCCAAGGTTAAAAGTTCTTTGGGCGTCTTACTGCGGCTATGAGATAAAAACCATTTATATGGTATGATACTGTGGGTGCTTTGATAATCGATACTACAGAGGAATATTCTGTTGAGGTTTTTCAATATGGCTGAATGGTAAGAACATGAAGCATTGAAGCACAATCGTGATGATGATGATGATGATGATGATGAAGATTCGGTACCTTTTTCTTTCACATGTGCAGCAATGAAGGCTTGGTAAGAAAGTATCACATAATTCGATCATATTTTCTCTCAATATGGACTACTTTCAAGTTGGTTGGACAATAGGTACGAGGCAAATAGCTAGGGACTCCATTATTTCTTGCATTATGCATCAAACTTGATGTTGATTCGTCTCTTCCTATCCCTATCTATCTGTCTACTCGCCAAGGCCGCAAACAGAAAAGAAGTAAGGTAGTAAGAGGCAAATTCGAGAGGGACAGGATATATATTTACGAATAGCTTCTTTTTTCAACCGTTTTTGATTAGAACCTTTGAAACGGATGGGAAGGGTTTCATTATAGACTCTGAATCATTTGTGCCGCTCTATAATACTTGGTCATTCGTGGTTGATTCAGCCACGGGCTTTAATATTCGAAAGTTATCAATTATTATTTTTCATGACTTGGTTATCCGGCTGGTAGATTAGCATGATTAGGAAGAAGATCAGCGTACCTGATTGGTTGATTTTGAGGAAAATGCTGAATGACATATTATAGATTATTGGTTGAATGAATTGAATGATGAGTGAACTGATGGACATCGAGATATACCCATAGGAAAAGTGTATAGTATTCGATGTACCTATGTACCTATGTACCTCTGTATCTTGAAACAAATACAACATCTTCAAACATAGAGAGAGAGAGTAAATAAAGAATCGAGATCTTTTTCATCTTCTTTGAAAAGAATTTCAATAACAACAACAACAACAACAACTACCGATATCTGATAATCATCATTATTTGATACTATCCAGAATCTAGGATCCGCTCAAGAACGCAGTACAAGCCTTTTTAGCGGCGGAATACTACTCCTTTTTACTAGTGTCTGTCAATCTAGTACTATCTAGGTACATCTACTCTATATCCAATAGAATCAAGCTATTATCCTCTCCTTTCCCTCCTTGCTAACAACAACCAACCATAAAAAAGGACGCTACGCTACACCTCTATCAATCTAAATTGATTCTTGAGGGAGAAGCACGGACGACTTGGTATTATTTTCTCCACCCATCCATCCATCATTTCAACTACCACTCATTGTACCCCGTACTTTATCTCACCAAATAATAATCAACCAAAAAGAAAGAGACAAACGACCTTGAAGCTAGCCAAAACGAAATAACATACCATTCATTACCCTTACCACCAACCACTACAATCAAAGAAAGGCCGCCGCCGAATACATTGACCTCATCACTGCCTCCCCTCACACTCACCACCTTACCACCTCCCAACAACCAAACAAATATACACCCTTCACTGCCCCGTTTACAACAATAAAAGATGGATTGTTTTTAAATTTCCAACCGAACTTTTGTTTTAACTGGGGCAAACATTGCCAGAATCTTGACCATCAAAGATGTCTGCACTCGACGTACTTTCACCACCACCACCACTACCACTACCATCACATAACAATGGATTCAACAACAATTCCAAGAAACTCTGCGGGGAGCACCCCATCTTCGAGTCCAGGTCTATTCAGTCCTTCGAGTTTACATCGTCAGTCTGTACCGCTTTTCGACCATGGAACTCCCCATTCGAGTCCTTATCTACATCCTTTACAGATGCATAGAGTGAGAGAGTAAGTTGGCCCTGACTCCCTGTCCCCCTGCGAAGTTCCTTGTTATCAGAGAATCTTCACTTCCTCGACCTGCGAAGCTTATCGTTGGGTATTTATAACTTGTACCACCTTCGCAAGTGATGAGGGGCTGCCAATAGCGCATCGATCTAGTTTTCCCCGCTACTTTGAAGGATTAAAGGCCTCTGACTCAATACTTACTAACTCATTCTTCTCACACTAGAACTCACAAAGCACAAGTCGAACAAGATTTCATTACTGGGAGGAAACTCATAAATCAATATGAAATTATCGATGAAATTGGGAGAGGTGTACATGGAAAAGTCAAATTGGCCAGGAGTCTTGAAACCCAGGATTATGTCGCCATCAAAATCATACAAAGATTCTCAAAGAAAAGAAGACTTGGAAGGGTTACCGTCGCTCCCGAGGATAAAACCAAGAGGGAGATTGCCATTCTCAAAAAGATACGTCACCCCAATGTTGTCGGTCTACTGGAAATTATCGATGATCCGGAATTGAAGAAAATATACATGGTTCTTGAACACGTCGAATTAGGGGAAATAGTATGGCGTCGGAAGGGGGTGCGGAAGATATCCCTATATGAACGGCGAAGGATTGAAAGAGAAATTCGGGGAGAGGATGATCAAGGAAATGATGAGGCCTATTTCGAAACACTCAAACGTCGGCGACAACGGAAAGAGATGAACAGAGCAAGGCTTTTTCAATTCCAAGGAAATGGAGAATTCTGGAGTTTGGAACATGGAGATGACGACGGAGAAGAAGAAGATCGTTCCGAATTACCATCTCTATCGCGAGTTACCACACGAGACTCTTTCGTATCCCTATCGCATACATCCATAGTCCGATCAAATCCTGTATCTATCAGAAGTTCTCGAGCCACATCTAGAGCACCAACTGCACAGAGTTCCCGTGCCCCTACACCGTTACCGGGATCCATAGACTACGACATAGGACCAATAGATAGTGACAACGAGGAAGATGCAATCGGCTCGTACGTTTCACATGCTTCGGATCTGGCTTTGGAAGGTACAATGTATGGTTGTTACACAGAAGATCCAATGTACCGGGGAAGATCTCCTAGTATGGCGGACAGTATTATTTCTCACATGTCGTCAGTAGATGGCATGGCGCAACACGATGCTTTCGAAGACGATTTCTCTTATGTTCCATGCTTTACTTTGGATCAAGCGAGGTCGGCTTTTCGAGACACTGTTCTAGGATTGGAGTACTTACACTACGAAGGTATCGTTCATCGAGATATCAAGCCTGCTAATTTACTATGGACAAAGGATCATCGCGTCAAGATATCTGATTTCGGTGTCTCATACTTCGGTCGACCTATCAGAGAAGGGGAAACAGAAGAGAACATCTCCGAAGCTGATGCAACCGACTTTGATGATGATCTAGAGTTAGCTAAGACGGTTGGGACACCTGCTTTCTTTGCCCCCGAATTGTGCTATACCGACATAGATATCGAACAACCAAAGATCACTGAGCAGATTGACGTGTGGTCTTTGGGCATTACTTTATACTGCCTAATATATGCCCGCATTCCGTTCATGGCTGAGGATGAGTATCAATTGTTCAAGGCTATTGCAAAAGAGGATGTCTATATTCCCAAAAAACGATTAAAGGCTGTCGATCCAGGAAGTTCAACCTCAAACTTTAGTAGAAGGATGGGACCATGGGATGGGCCGTATAGAGATGAGGGGGATCTGTCTTATGAGGAAATCGATGATGAACTATATGATTTACTCAGGAGAATGTTGATCAAAGACCCTGCCGAGCGGATCAAGCTTCGAGAAGTCAAACGACACCCATGGACGATTAAAGGCATTGAGAATATTATTGGATGGCTTGATGATACTGATCCATCACGCAGGACCGCAGGACGCAGGATTGAAGTTGATAAGAGCGAATTGGAACGCGCTGTCGTACCTATTACCTTTTTGGAGCGAGCTCGATCGACATTGAAAAAGACTTTAGGCAAGGTCACTAGTGTGATGAGAAATGATAGGAGTGAAGGATCTCGCAAGAGGGCTACAAGCAATGCCACAAATACAAGTTCAGGTGCCGAAAACCCCACCCATCCTCCACCATACACTCCCATCTTGCGCGAGCTGATTCGTCGGGCAAGTCTTCGTGGAGATGAATACTTTTCAACCATTGGTGATTCTCACAATGATCACCATAAAGAGTCAACGGAGCATCCTTTAGCTCAGAGCCTAACGGCTAGCCCCGATTTGGTAGCATGCGATCCATTTCAGCAAGCATTTTCCCTTTCTTCCCCGGTAGGAGCCACCCCCAGACGTTCTGGATCCTCTTTAGCATCTTCAAATTTTGATGCGAGACCAGGTCCACCGGAGCGCACTATCTCGGGGACGCCATCGATTGCGACGGTCGTTCCTAGAGGTCACTCATATTCGCGATCGGTAAATCACGTCCTTTCCACAAGTCCCCCTGCAGAAGAATGTCCAAGAACACCAGGACTATTTACGGATCATATGGGTCAAATATTTGGTGGACATCTATGGAACCCTAGGGGTCGGGAATCCTTGATGGAGATTGATGAAGGTGGTTCATCGAGGGCTAGATCCGTCGACAGGGGTCTTTTTAACGCGGAAGACAAGCATGCATCCGCCAGCGTTGCAATCAGCACTGCAGTTGCCCCGGGACATTTTGACCATCCCCGTCCGACCCATTCCCCCAAGACTAGCCCGATCAACAGCTTTTTCGACAGGTCAATACCCTCGCCCTTGTTCTTCCAACATTGGAATCTTAACAACCCTCAATCGTTTTCGTCAGCATCGACGCCTAACGTGATGAGTACCCAATATGCCGCATCAATTCTTGACGATAGACCCGCTACAGCCAACCGAACCCCAGAAGAAAAAACCTCTGAACCACGAACATTTGGGGCGAGTACACCTGATCCGTTTGGAAGAGCTCGAGAACAACTTGATCGACGCAGGAAAATTGAAGCAGATTTACATGCAAAGAGAGTTGGGTTTCACAGCTCGAAACTGAAAATAAAAACTGCTTCATCAAGAAATTGTCCGCCGTCACCTGATGATGAATGCTTCGCTCAAGAACAGGAAGCTGCGAAACGTGCTCGGTCATATAGCTCGGTCAACTCAACAAACATAATCTCGCCAGGTGATATGACCTTCCCGTCCGATGTGAACTCGCCAATCTCCTCGGTAGCTCTTGGTTCACAAGAACAGTTCTTCCCATCGGTGCCTTCATTACCTGCTTTAGTATCTGGTTCATCATCTGTTTCTGCTGATCCAGAGGGTGATATGCTTCAAGATCCTGGCATGTGTCATTCGCAATTCGTCTACGATACCTCCGAAACTCTCACACCACCTTTGTTTTCTAAGCAATCTTCCGCAAACAAAACTCCCACAATTACGGATGATCATGTTTCTATTCATCCTTATGCAGATACGGATGAAGAGGGATACAATGGTGATGGTGATAACAGTATGAATGCGGGTTTGGATGACTCGGATAGTGATGAGGGGCTTACGATGACGAGGAAGAAACCAACGGCTAAATTGGCAGGGATGGGTAGTCATGGTAGAAGAGGTACGAATGCAAGTGTTGGGAGCACAGATACTGCCAAGAAAGTCTCGATGGAGGGATAAACTTGGGTGGTAATCTCATGATTTGGGAATGGCATTTTCTGGGCAGCAAAGTTTTGGCGCTATTTCCTCGAGAACCTCTTATTTATATTCGATGGCCAATACCAGAAGGACAGAAGATTGAGGTTGGCTCGGGAATCAGGGACGAGATCTATAGCGGCGAAATAACTACAATCTAAAGCACGACGCTTTATTCCCAGACAACGAAATCGCAATACTGCTTCTAGCAAAATATTTGATGGGAGCATGAATGAATGGGAGGGACATTTGAGATCTGGGCGCACAGCTTGTTACGAAACACTGGTCTTCTTCGTGGAAAGAAGTGTAATATATGATGGATTATGTTATTATGATTTCGTGTTCTCTTTTTTTCTCTTTCGAGGTTTGTTTTATTTTGCCCGATGGTGCTTTAAGTTAGAAGATGCAAAGAAAGGGATATATTATGGATGGATGAGATTTGACCAAAGCTGTGGGTTGTTTGTCTTATAATGCTGGCGGGTATTTTTAATGCATATGAAACGGAACGGGATATTGTTTTTGCCAGAGGAACTGCGGGCGTTGCGAGATGAGGTAAAATGCATATAGGGAGAGGAACAAACTTGAAGGGAAGAGTGGATGAAGTGGGAAATGTACTAGGAGAAAGATATTCGGAGAGAGGAAACTTCGAAGGTTGTGAATACTCTTTAAGCTGAGAATCTGCTTACTATATATAATCATTGAAATTGGTTGGGAGATGGAGGATATGTGGTGAAGGAAGAGGAGAGAAGGAGGTGTGTTATGTGTAGGGGTGGGATGGGGTGGGGTGGGGTGAGGTAGTTGAGAGATGAGATATCTGATGAAATAAATGAGATGAAATGAGATGAATAAGATGAATATACAAGATGAGATGTTTATTAGATTGTACTGTATTGATTGTCTTATTTAGTGTATGATTATTAAAATAAATTAGATATGTTTCTAAAGTACTGTGATATGAATGACTTTTCTCACCCTGATAGTGTGACGAATCCTTTACCTCGGAGAGGAGAGGAGGGGAGATTATAAGAACAAATTTGAATGCACAAACGCAGAATACAAGGAATAAATGCAAAGACAAGATTAAAGACATACCTAGTATCTATCTTTTCTAAGCTAAAAACTAAAATCTAGAAGCTAATAGATTCTTAAATAGTAATGTATTTATAAGCAATTCATTTATTTATATATTTTATTTAGATCAAGGTAATTAATTGTAGATTTGAGATTGAGATTGGGATTACTCGTAATAGATCTAATCTTTTATATTATAAAACACTCTTATTTCGCATATGATCAATATATAATAATAAGTTTTTTTTTGAAAATTCATGTACAATACTATATTCAATCTTCAATATTAGTATATTTCTTATAATAATCAATAAAACTAAAATCTAAAATGATAATATTCAAGATT